CTCAGTCCAAATAATAGTCACTTTCTGTCATTTGGTAGGTAAGTTGTACGAAGACGACACAATTTATACATCGGAAATGAACAAGCCCTTCATAAAAATGATCATCTTTCATTGGTAGTCATATAAACATTCCAACAACGTAGGTTGTTTCATGACATATGGCGCGAAAGACTGAGTCTGGTTTGACCAACTGGACGAAGGAATCACACTCACCTCTTATTAACGAAAAAGATAATGTACACTGGAAGTTTATTTGGTAGCTACCCCCCCCCCCCCTAACAACTTGGTAAGTGCTGGTGACTCCACAGCAATGGAGTGAACGAAGAAATATTGCGAATATTAGTGAAGCGGCTACCTTAATTGTGGCAAGTTAGCTGGAATTTAAATGTGCCTCGTCAGACAGGATTTTTTGATATCTTGGTTGTCGTCCAAACTTAGCATGAGGCGGTCGAAGACCGCTCTAAATAAGAGATTAAGCTGAGCCTCTTTTCAACATCAATTTTATCTGTAATTGTCTGTCAAACCAGAAAACAATTTTGATAGGAACCAAAAGATTACGCCTGTCTGGTGAGTCTCAAGAAAACAGTCGTTGGCTGTCGAATAGTTTGCAACAAATTATTTAAGTCATTTTGGGTCAGAAGATATCGCTTGCCTTCATTTTTCAGAGAGTGGCGAGTAGATTTTACCCTTGAGTCATTTTGGAACGTAAACCGTATTCATTACCGGCTTTTGCCAACACGGGACTGATATCGAACCTGCTCCATCTTGAGATTTTATTAGTGCACAGGTGGTGATAGCCATAATACAGATCAGAAGGTGCATGCACTAATAAAAGTATTTTTGCATGGTTGCAACGCAAACACGTATGAAAATAAATACAATGAGAAATTGAGAGCAAGTCAAAAAAGGAACTTATCGTCTGTAAGAGTTTTTTGGTGAAAGTCCGGACGGCGAGAACGTGTTTTTCTCCGCAGTGCGACTGCTACACGTGTTCCATAATTGTCCGTGGACTTGTGGAGAGTGGTTGACTTCCTGCTCCCTGCGCGCGCGAGTCTGTGTGTTGACTGTGTTCGGTTTCCCTATATGTAGGTCCGTTTGTGTGTACGTGAGCGCGTCAGCACATGAGTAGTTGCTACGCTGACTAGACGGTACAGACAATCGGTGTCCGATGCATCAGCTTAATGTGACGTGGTTTGAGTATGAAAAAAAAACAAGTCTCGTGATCCAGTGAGCGACTGTGAGCTGAACAGTCAAGTATGTGGGTGACGTGGTAGCCACAATCTTCGTGGCACGTGTGCGAAATTTCATTCTTGTCCATTGCTGTTTGATGGCATAAGATGGCGCCGGTAAACAGTGCATCAATCGCGACTGGAACACATGAAACATTCTTCAGAATCAATCAAATTCGGACGCTACTGAATAGCAAATTTCGATCACTCGAACTTTTACGACCATAGCGGGCTACCATCGATACCTCATGACAACCTTGTAAGGAAATAGTTTAGATTGGAATATTCCGACCAATATTTGAAGATGTATTGAGTCATTTTCAGGGAATCATAGCTTGATCTTCAAAATACTACACTGAATTAGCGAAATTGAGAAGATTATTAAGGTATTAGGCTTTTTACAGGAATATTTAGAGTCTTATGCCCGGAAGCGGAGAATATATTCGCACATATTGACGCAATATCCAACGGGCATTTCACATCCATTTCATAGTTGAGGCCATCTCTTAGCATTGCTCAAAGACTAGCTACCGATTGAGTTCAGAATCATAGTTTTGAGCTTTGGTTACTATATTTAACGTGTTTTTATACGTACTGGCTCAAACCCTTTTTTTATCATAATATCGGACAAATGCATGAAACCAGTGAAATTCTGGCTCGAAATCGCGGGCAAGTAGTTCCGTTCCTGTTAGATCTTATTCAGTGTATTCTGAATGAGCTTGAAATTTTCTGTCGAAAAAATTATGATAATTGGTAAAGTCTTTCGCACCGATAGTCATATTGGTGTGCTAAACTGCCCCTCTGTTTTCCCGCAGAGTATACTGACTAACCGTTTACACAAGAACAGAATCTCTACTGGTGCGTATGAATCGAAAATAGAAGTCGCGGGGTAAATGAATGCTGAAATGTGGAACAGTTTGATGTAGCAATCCTCTTTCGACAATGATCATGGATGGGGGACGTTGATCTGCTGTTTAGGTTGGTACGCCGTTTGCAATGTTCTCACTGTGGCGGCGCACATGCCCAACATGCCACACGGATTCAAGGTCTGGTAACTCAAAGCCAGTTGGAAGTTGAGTGTACCAAGTTAAGTTTCAACGGAAAACAGTTGGCAAAGAACACTTCAAAGCAGGCTGGTGCACGTCTAGACAAAACAACGTCACCTTTGCCCGTTCTTGTGTGTAACTCTCGGGGATAGACGGTTACTGTTCTGATCAGCTTTCATTGCTCCCATTCTCCTAACGTACAAAACTATAAGTCTACAAGAAATTGCGGGTGATGACCAATCTGAACTGTATTTTCACTCGCAAGTATTTAGCGAACCAAACACTGAAAAGAAAATGTTAAGGGCAAACGGTATCTTCGAGTCACGCGTAATACCAGAACATCCGGGAAGGTAAAACAAAGTCGGAGCTGGGTTTCTATACGGTACTATTAATGTGAGACAAATTCGTAAATTATACAAACCTCGACAGTAGATACTCGTCCACAAGAGAAGTCCACTTGGGCTACAAAAGTACGAACCAAATGAGCAAACGAGGTCCCACGCGAGACAGTCACACGTACATAAAGTTGGTCGCAAATGGCTGGATGACCTCAAGGTCAAATGAGTGAAGTGGTAAGGACAAATAAACGCCAGTTCAAATACATGCACTAAACACAAAGGTGGAGCAGTGGTTACAGATACGGACAGAATAAACGTAGGGAATTCAAAATGTCAAATTAATGAACGATGAAGAAAATATAGGTATTTCTTCTGAAATATTACTGCTTCATAAAAAACGACGAACTTTTCCCTAAAAGTATTTCACGTGAGACGAAGATAAGCATTATTCTTCGGGTTGATTTCTCGGCGTTTTCAGGCTGCGCAAGCGCTGGTTTCTTCGAAGTGTCTGCGCACCGTGCCAAAGCTGAAAACTTTCACCATGTGTTATCATCAAATCCTGAGTGGAAGTTTCATGGAGCTTTTTACACAATACTAGTGTTTCGACTACCATGCAGATAAAGAGTAATGTATGTTTCTTCATGAAAGAAACTACTCACAAGGTTGCTGAAAATCCATCGACAGCCCACGACCAGTTTCACCCTGCTCGGGGCTCATCAGGTAGGCGCAGTCCCCGAGTTTCCGTCAACCTTATGTTCTACTTGAACACAAATTGGACTGTTTTCGAGAAATACACTAATTTGCAAATCAATTTGGTTTTGACGAGAGGCTCAACTGAATCTCTCGTTTTATGATGTTCTACAACTGAATGTGCTGCAATCGATTATGATGCCCTTCGCTCAAACAATGCAACTAGGCTGGAAGCAGTATATGACTAATTTGGAGGGCAGTGAAAACGGCCAATCAGAGGAGTACACTTTCGGGCGAGAGAAAATGGCAGTCTGAAGCTAGACAGACAGCCTTTCCGAGAGGTATATCCACAATCTTTTCTAGCATTACCTTCAACATTGAATCACCGGAAAATCATGTTGCTGTGCATGAAGTTGCGATGATCATCTAGCCGAGTTGCCGATTCTTAATCTACACGATGAAGCAGTGTCACTGACACCAACTTCCAAGTACAACTCACGAAAGTTTGATTCGATTCTGTTGACCTGTTGTTACAAGTAGCTCCGGGACTGGAAATCATAACGACCCTGTTTGTCGTGGGCAACCCAAAGCTAAGACAACCTGAGAATGAACATGAACTTCTCGATAACGAGACCAGACAGCACTCGGTGTGGTTGTAATCGGTAGAGAAGACGAACATCGATTTTTCAAGGAACAAGGCAAAAAGAACAAATCAACGTGGATACAAGAATAACGAGCAAACTTTTTTGCAGACCCTACTATCAAGGAGAATTAATGAGAAAAGAGACTTGCCAGAATGAACCCAACTACCTTCAAAGTTTGACAGATTTACAGACCTCCCAGGGTACGTCAACAATCCTACCCTTTATGTCCGAACCTAGACACAGGTAACTCTCTATAGCACACGGGTTTTCCAGCTAAAACGCTGGAATCAGTTAGACATCGATTGAGCTCAGATACACCTCCCAATTCGTACAGTCAATTCGAGACCCAATTGTAGAAAGTTCTCTATTAATCGCCTGGTAGAAATAACTAGTCTTCATATTAATTGTCTATTTGAATCTCGGTGGTTTCATAGGGATTTCGCGTAGTTAGAAAGTGCAAAAATATTGAGAATCACTGAACACAGAGTCTAATGTCTGCAATGAAATTTCGCACTCAAAATCCGGCCATTTTACCAACTCTAACAGTCATTATTTTTTGGCTGCCATACATAATGAATTCCTATATATGCATAGAAGATGTACTAGTTTGTGGTAGGGAAAAAACTGTCACTTTACCGTCATACAATGGAGTTTCGTCACCGACTTCACCGCCTATCCTAAATGGAGAGCGGGTGCTCGTAATCTCTAATGTATTGAGAGAAAATGGATGTATTCACACTGCTCTACATCGATTACTGCGTCAACACGTCCCGCTCTTGATTGGTCGTCCTCTGTGGCTCACGAATTACCGTTTTCTTGAACCACTGCATTGGTGTGCACCAAACGGACCGTATCGGATTTGAGGTTGTTGTGTCGCTACCCGTGCGGTTGTGCACGCACCCGTTTAAAGCTGACCAATCAGGTGATAGCATTGGTACCGTACCGTTTATCAAGACCATGAAGTCGGTAGGGTGAACAAAACCAGCAGCCACACTTTGGTGGAAATACAAGTGGCTCTGATACTCGGTGTTTGCATTTTGTTGGCTGACGAATATGAAAAGGCAGGTGGTCGTTGAACGTCCCGATTCGGGACTACTTTGGGGGATAAAGATTCAAGGGGGACGGGACTTTGGACAGAAGCTACGGATAACTGAAGTCAATAAAGACGGGATACTTGCAGGTCATGGCTTAAGACCTGGCAGTGAGATTGTCTCCATCGGGGGCGAACCAACGGTGTCTATGACTCACCTTCAGGCTCAAGAAGCATTCGTCCGCTGTGGAAATCGACTGCAATTAGAGATTATTGAGCCTTCATTTGCCGAACAACCCACACTGTCAACACAGTATTCTGAAGAACTGCACCACCTCAAATACGCTTCAGAGGCCCAACCTTACCGCCCTCGTTGTGAGGAAAACGGCCGATTGGTCTCAGGTGGATCGAAGCCGCAAATCATTCAGCCGCCGGCAGAGCCCATCCCCAGCGTTGACAACAAAACAGTGCGCGTCACAACAAATATAACATGGAATCCTCAGGCACACACCCAAAACACAAAGCTGCACGACCCACTACCCGAAGCCCCGAAACCATTCAATGCTGATGTTCCTAACCGTTACCAAATGTCAAACTCCCCCACCGACAGCCACAACACGGTCCCTTCTGAAATCAATGAAACCGTCTGCCTGAAGAAGCCTAGTCAGAATTCGTTATCAACTATGCCAGTCTATGGTTCATCTCCATCGCCCATCCAAATCGAAACGTCTCGCAGTGAGAACACCAGTCCCTCAGTCTACTATTCTTCTGGGGATGAACGTATCGCTTCTTTGCCAAAGACCGTACTTGCAAATTCCTCTAAACGGCCTGTTTGTTTTTCATGCCGTCGAGAAATTCATGGCCCGTTTGTTGATACAGGATCCTTGTGTTTCTGTCAAGAACATTTCAACTGTGAACAATGTGGAATGCCACTAGCAGAGCAACAGTACAGTGAATCAAACGGGAAATTTTATTGTGCAAAAGATTTTGTCCAGTTAGTTGCTCCCCGCTGTGCTAAATGTTCTCAGCCGATCGTTGGATTGATTACTAAGGCGTTGGGGAAAAATTGGCATCCTCAGTGTTTTGTATGTGTACATTGTCACAAGCAACTACGTGACTTGTTTCATGTAGAAGACACGGGAGAGGTACTGTGTAAAGAACACTGGGAAAAACTGCATTTAAAATCTTGTGCTTCTTGTAAACAGCCCATCTCGGAGATTGATAGATTTGTTGAGGCTTTTGACAAATGCTTTCACGCGCCATGTTTTTGTTGTGCCGCTTGTCGCACTCCGCTCGAAGGGAAAATGTTCCATCCCCGAGACGGTAAGCCGTTTTGTCCTGTGCATGCCAAAGCCCAAGCGCTTTATAGCTAAGCTCTCCTCCTCGTCCAGAAACACTTTGGTGATGAGAATAACCCTGGTCTGACTTTATTTGCAGCCATTCGACTAGCGCCTTATTCAAACTAGTCACAGCGTCTTTATACCGCATACTTGCTTACAACATTTTCCCACCTACTCAGACGCACAAACACACCCGCACACAAACACAAACACGTGATTACCGGAGCAAGCTCCCTTATCCATCCCGTCAAATAGATCTTGCTGAATGAACTCCAAGCTCTGTTCCTAAAGTTGTGTTGGCAGAAGTTGGAGTAAATTTCCTCGCACATGTTTTTTGTTGACTGGCATTGGTGGACGGTTCATTCGGAAATGACATGTTTTTTCAACACGTAGTGTAACTCAGTTTCTGGACAATTTTTTCCAACTAAAATCAATAATATCCACATTTTGGGATAAGAAGAATTTTGTAGGTTCGTGGCACTTTGTGACCGTGTGAAAACAATGGTTGTTGAAGTGCGACTATTATCGTCAATTCTGGACAAAGCTATCGGTTTGGGATTCAAGCTGAGGATATATCGAATAAATTTGATTTGCATTGACCCACCAGAATACTGTGGAATAACATATCTCCGTCATGACAAGAAGTTCATATCTCCGCATGACAAGAAGTTCAAGAATCAAATTAGGATGTGATCCCCCTTAACCCACGGAGTGAGTCTGCCTGATAGGGTGTATTAACAAAACAGGTGAAATGCGTTGCTAAATCGATCTTGAGGACGCTCATTCAATAGACATTGAGCTCTGGTTCAGTATACGTGAGGACTATTCACCCTCGGTACCAGCCAAAACAAGCCCTTTTCAAGCATGTCTTCTTGAAATTCACACACTTCGTGTAACACAACAGATCCCTTAACACATTGGGTAGGCACTTGGGAGGTTTAGGGTTAATTCCTTCCANTTCATAGTCGCGTAAAACGGCGCCAAATGCCTAGAATATGAGCAGCAAAAACACCTGTTCAATTCCGTACTTACATTTGCCCAGAGAATATCAGAGTTACTATCACGGAAACACACTAAACATCTGAAGACAAGATGGTAGGATATATATATATATATATATATATATATATATATATATATATATGCCATATTGTAAGAAATGTATTTCTCTTATTGAGAACCACTGAGCCTCATGTATTGGTTCATGGACGATACTAAACCGAAACGCAGTAATCCTCGATGTTGGCTCGGGCAGCTTTGGGACATCTTGTCAGCACAAAATCACCGAGGTTTCCTTTTGAAATGGAACTTGAGCGATCCACCTCCATAGCATACGAATTTAGACATTGAGAGAGAATTTTCGGTGCTTCGTAATACGGAACGGTGTGTCAAGCAAAGCATGTAGGATTTAGACGGTAGTCCATTTTGTGAGCCTATATCAACCAAGCCAAATCATAAGCGGTGAGACTTGTGCGTTTTCACAGCTTTGTGACGTTCATTCGACCAAAAGTTGATGTTGCAGATGGTAAATTGCATCCCTGTAACCACCCACGGTATCAGCTGACTGAGTCCTACTCAGTCTCCAACAGCTGTACTTTGGAAGACGTACTCAGTGGTGCGATGTCATAACTGCGTTATTCGGAGTCCAGGTCATCGGGTTTAAAAACCACTTCTATTGGTACATGAGGTTGACGGAGACTCGGGGAACGTGCTCACTTGAAGATCTCGAAAAAGGAAGAAAGCTATCACGTGCAGTCGAGCACTTCTCATTGCCTTGCGCGTATTGTATCCCATCAAGAAAAATCGTTTTAGATCATCTTTTCCTCCTACCGAGTAGTCATCGTTGCAATGTTCACCATGGGATGACACAGGCACCTGGTCTTCTCGTTCCTGGGGACGCTTACCTTGGGAGGCTCTTTGTCGTTCGTTATAGAAATGATTTTTTAGCCGGACACGGTTTCTCTCTGAGCTGATGGTCTGTTCACCGAGATTGGCAGTTGTATTCCATTCCAACTTCCTCTCTTCTTGGAAGCAGTCTCTGTTTGATGGTACTATCGATGGACAGCCATGAATCACGCGACGTGTCAGGATATGCTCATTTAGGGAATAAGGCGACTGATAAAAAAGATGTGAGGAAAAAACGAGTGTGGTTGTTTTAACTGAAATGGAGGATATTAGAACCGGGTAATCGATCGCTGTCCCGAAGTTACATCAGCAGTTCAGTGAATAGACATGCTATCTTTGGGTGGCCCGCGTTGCGCTTGGAAAAAGTTCGCTACAGCTGCTCTGGTTCTTCTCAAAACTCAAGTATCAATAAACAGATTTGTCGTGACACCATAGACTTCACCGTAGACTGGTTTGAATTCCCGCTGAGATAATGAGACGAGGCGAACAGGTCGGTCGATAAATCACAACGGTGGTCTGAATTCTCCAGCTTTCTGAAACCCATGCTGTCCACACCAGTCTGTTTGTATAAAGAGCATTCCGTGGTGCAGGTTATGCAAACATCAGATTTTCCGACTCGTGACTTCCTCTCAATGAGACCGCCTTCCGAAGATGTAAAAAGAAAACTCCAGGTGTTCGTCGTGTTGCTTCGATAGTCACCCACATTTCAGGATCATTTCAAAGGAAGAAATATCAGTTACTCGTTGTTCAAATTTATTGCAATATGGATGCTCAATTTCCTCATTCTCCCAAGATGAATTACAATTTTCTGGATTCTTTGCAATACAGAGTACCGAGGTGGTGGTTGTGGGCGTCCAAGTTTAGCACAATTACCAGATTAGGCTAATTGGAAGTTGACTATATTTCACATAGGAATTTTTTATTGATCTTTTTCAAGTGATGTAGAACAGACCTAGGCATATCGTGATTAAGCTTAGTTTTACTGTCTCACAACTGGTTAAAATTTAGCAAGAACTATACTGTACTCCATCTGTGTCCGACCGACTGACTGAGTTGCAACAAGAGAGCATCAATTCTGGTTCCGCTGTTATTTACAATCCAAAGGATAAAATATGTAAATCTGGTCTATCAGCACATGCCACCAGAGATTCACCACACCACATGTTATCGATCAAAGATGTCGGGTGAATTGGTCGGTGGAGTGTGATAACCTCAAAAACTAAAAGATTTTGATGTGATGCGAAACGATGGAATCTGTTTACCTGAAGATTATCGGTGTTCTTTGTTGTGGTGAGCAGCATAAACGTGAGATTCAGTTGGGTTCCACGTGAGTCTCCTGCCAAAGCCAAATTAGTATGCCAGTGAGTGTATTCCGCTAACATGGAACTGTATTTCAGATCTCAACGAGGTAAGTGTTGAACTGACTTGCTGCAGGTCGCTCACCAAATATAATGTCTTGGATCAGCAGATGCGTCGAAAGACTGTAGTGTGAAACTGATTCTCAGAAAGGAATTGTCCAAATCGCTATGGAAAGGCTTGTTCTTCTACGTGGCCCTACAGAAGTCCTCGTCAAACGATGATTTTCTCTTGGCTACGAATCCTAACACAGAAGACCGAATTCGTTCTACTACTGAATACGTATTAAAGACAGCAACCTGTGTGAGAACGCGCTGGACCCTAAATGCGAGTTGTGCATACTGCGATCACAATGTATTGTTTCGGTCCAGCCCATACACCCCGATTGTCAGTGTAGACTGAGTGGGCTGCCGAAGAGTTTTCAGCAGAGTAGTTTCCTTACTGAAAATATAAGAAACCTGCTTTTCTAGTGGACAGGTTAACTCAGAACCATGCGATGAGTAGCATTCAGCGAACTCACAGAATCACAAGAGAGCATCCTTATGTGGCCTAGTCTTATTGCGTAATTCATCCCCAGGTTGAGAATGACTACGATCTTTGGAAAAAATCACAATCGAACCTATGTAAACTTGGATTATGGGTTACTCCATCACCAAAAGTACTTTGTTTCGCTGAACTTTTCTCGTCCACACTAGCCATAGTAACCAGGTAAATGAAGCTGAGCACAAATCTACAGGCAAATAACGGCACTCTTTTGGTCCCATTTGCGCAAACTGATAATGGCAACAGCGACGAAGTCTTTTTGTCCATTAGAACAGACCCACTTGTCTAAAGTGAAGCAAACGGTTATGCGTTGGAATACCTAGCAATGAAGATGAGAGGGATCGACCTGACTGGAATTTTGCCGATACACTAGCAATCAGTGTTATTGGCACTCAATTGTATCTGGTGAATGTCATCTGAATAGGTTTACACAGTTTCCCTTTCAGACCTATGGTCAAGAAGATTGTGATCATTTTGAAGAAGAAACCAAACAAGACGGGCACCTTATGATCGGTCTTGTGGGGATATCAGCTGCTGGTCAATGGAATATTCAGTTGGCTGATTCCTCGAGTAGGTCTTATACTCCTGCACAACTTTATATATATATATATATATATATATATATCAGTTTACGGAAACGGCACCCTATACAATGACCCATTGTGTCTTTTGCACTCTGATTTGCCAGAAAACGTTTGCCGGATGTGATATGGGCAACGCACCATTTTAGCTTTGTCAGAATTAGTCTCCAAACAGAGAATCACGTGATGCAAGAGGCTGTAGCACAATATATTATGTTTTGTCTATTCAGCAGTGTGACCATCTCCGATGAAATAAATATCTCGCAAATGTCAACAGCTACGGGTCAATGAGATTCTGGAGGCATCCATCAACAAAGGTTTGGTGCAGCTGCAAGCACAGCAGTTTCATTGAAAATTTTATCGCATACACTGCGTTAATTGTTAGTTTAATTGATATTTTCACTTACCTAACAGAGTAATGTGTCACTAAATGATCTATTTTATGACACCGTAGACAATGCCTATTTCTGAACAAATCAGAAAGTTTAGATGATAAATACTACAGTTGCCTGTATGTAGGAAAGTAAACAGTTAGAAACATTTGTCTGATTATTTTGTTGAGAAAATGACGAGATGCAAACCTATCAGTAGGGATTTCCTCCAGAAAGTCTGTACTGAAATGCACCGTACAGTTGTTCTATGCCTGTT